CTTTGTATTTCCATTTAAATTCTAAGTTATTTCATCATTGGAATTCAGTTCTATTCATCAAAACAATATCCGACTGTGATAACAATCTCAACAAATTTTATTTTCTCATCAACGAATAAAAAGGCCCAGTACCAGCGAAACGGGCAGGAGATTCAAATAAATTGGGTGGGCTAAACAATGAAAAGAAAGGCCATTGAGGTCTGCAAATCCTCGCCCAAAGATTGCTTTTATACTGAATAATTGCATAACCAATTGGGCTTGGCTCATCTAATCAGACAAAAATTGGATTAAACTATGATTAGAATATTGAGGAGTAGAAATGTTCTTCTGTGTTTTTTAAAAATTTTTCATGGAAATTTTTTTCTTCTTATTTTTTACCCTTATATCAAAAGTCACATCCCAAAATCTAAATTGAATTTTTCATCCCAAAATCTAACTTGGATTTTTCAACCATATGATTTGATCATAAAATTTCCTATACAATTAAAATAAACCTTACAAAGTGAACTAGTTAGTCTACCTAATTTGTCTAATAACAATTTCAGCCACCCACATTTTCTCACTAGTCAATTGAGCATACAATTCTTCACCTAATAGTCACTAGTTCGCTCTAAGTCATTATTTTCTTTTTTTTAACGAAATTTGTCTCATACTATTAAGGTTTGCTTACAAAAAGAAGAAACAACTTTGTTTTCTTTGAATGGTTTAAATCGTTATGTAATTTTGATCTGAGTCCACCATTCTTTAATCATAAAAATCAAAAATAAACCCATGTGCCAATTTTTTTTAATTTTTTTATCACAAGGGTATCGAGTCAGTTTATGCATACTACAATTAATCTTTTAAGACCTTATAATTAATGATCGGATAAAAGTCTTAATGGTCACCCCATAGTATCTGAAAAGAGTCAAACTAAAGAGCTCTTAAAACATTTTTTGCTCTCTTCCGTATGACCACCATATGCCAAAGTTGATATGAGGGGAATTCTTGTTTATATTGGAAGAGACATAAGCAGTAGATACTATGGGTGTCGGCTTCGGGTACCTGCATTTTTTGAAGGAACCGAAACTGACAGTTTCTTGAAATTTAGAACCAGAACCGAAACGATGGTTCCGGTTCCTAATACCTAGAAACAGAACCTGTAACAATAGTTTCGGTCTGGTTCTGGGTACCCTGTAAAATTACATAACCCCCAAAAAATTTTAAAAAGTGGCAAAAAAACTCTTCCCCCCCCCCCCCCCGCACTTGGTAACAAAAATAAAATTACAAATTATAAATTATAAAATACAAACTCCATTACTTTGTAAAGGTAGATTCTCAAAAGTCAAACCAACTTACTTTAAATGTTATGAAATAAATATAAATGTATTCACATTATTTTTACAAAAGTTTCTATTAACCCCCCTAATATTAATTTTATTTTATATTAGTCTTGGTTTTTGATTCCTGATTCTGATTCGGGTCCTAACTATAAGAACCAAAACCAGAACCGCACAGTAAGGTTCCAAAAATTGAAACAAGAATCTATCCATTGACAACTGGTTCTGGGTAAAAATTAGAACCAAACCCAAGAAATCATCAATTCTAGTTTCAACTGATTCTTTTGAAACACTAGTAAATACTTACTTGGGAAGGTTAATGTAAACTTCCTTTATAAAAAAAATAATAGGAATATGATTTCCCCATATTACCTGAACTTGATACCAAGAAAGAGAATGACTTGTTCAGAAGGGATTCCATTTTAACATTCCAAATTCAACACATCAAAATCAAATCAACGTTGCACTCTTAATCTATTATATTATCTCCACTTACATAATAAATTTAACTGTAATTAATTTAATTTATACTAATCTCTTCTTTACAATTTTACTGGTGAACAAGAGAAGACAAAAGCTGAGCTGCGTATAGCAGTGAAATACATGAAGATCTTGTGAGAGGGGAATAAATAAAGCATTTCTTCGTTCTTGAAAGGTGGCCAAATCATTTAATGAAACTTGAAACTGAATTCATGATTAAAACTATAATTAAGTTGAATTATAAAAGTACTTGTACCTTTGAATTGAATATTTTTAATTTTTATATTTTGACTACCTCACTTTATCCTTTTATTCCTCCTTCAAAAGAATCACGTGACAATTTCATCCCTTATTTTAAATTATGCAATAATTTTTTTACAATGGCGGCCAAATTATATATATAACAATCTCTGAAATTATGATTTCTATAATAATTGTGAAGACTCGAACTCGATAAACGATATTAAATTCTCTTCTTGTTCTTTTTATTTAAAGGGATTCAAATTTTAGAGACGATATTAGATCTTATTTTATTTTTATATCAAACCAACTAACAATGGTTTCTGTTAGGGCCAAAAATGTCTGGACTTGCGGAGCCCAATAACGAAATAAACATGTCACAGCCCAAGGCCTCAACCCAATCCTGATTGAGCCCACGCTAAAAATCACCTTGCGACCTACCCACTCTATGAGTTGGGCTATCCTATAAGTTAAGCTAAACTGGGTTTCAGCCCATTAGCCTGCAACAGAGTATAAATAGGAAATCAGAATCTCATTCTATTTCCTCTTCTACTAAGATTTCAAATCTTACTCAAACTATTAAACTTGATCTGATAAGGTCAAGAAATCATATCTCTTTCATGATAGGGATTATCTCCCAAAATAGGACTTAGTGTCCTACTAAGATTCCAACTCTTATTTAAACTATTAAACTTGATCTGATAAGGTCAAGAAATCATATCTCTTTCATGATAGAGATTATCTCCCAAAATAGGGCTTAGTGTCCTACTAAGATTCCAACTCCTATTTAAACTATTAAACTTAATTTGATAAGGTTAAGAAATCATATCTCTTTTATAATAGGGATTATCTCCCAAAAGAGGACTCAATGTCCTACTAGGATTCCAACCCCTTAGGTTCACTATAAAAACAGAGGCTTGCCCTCTCATTAAGCATGCAATCTCTCACAGTCAATCTACACCACTCAAAACCATCTATTTGTTCCTAAGTTCTTGCTCCCAAGAACCCGACGCCTTCGCCGTAGTCCTAGCCTTCGACAAGACTCCTGGTAATTCTTCTTCTCCTTAATTCTTATTAAATCTCTTTCAGCCTTGCTGACTTGAGCGTCGGAATGCCTACGGCAAACACCACCTCGGTGTTTTTCGGAAACTTCACGCTTGCCCTTTCATGTGTGTAGGTCTAACGGATTGTCAGTGACCTCAACCTCATGAGATCACACCCTATTTTCATGACGGTAGATTTTTTGTATCTACTGTTTCTAAGCCATGTATTACTGAAACTTGTATGCATTTATCTCCTCTTCTTTGATTGAAAATTTTAAATTCATCTGATATTAAATTTTAATTGTGTATTGATTAATTAATTATTTATACGTAGCGAACAATGTTGACTGCAGACTTACCACCTGCAAAGGAACATTCTAAAGGCTTAAGGAAAATTAAAAGCGAAAACAGGAGTCAGGAATTGGTCTAATAGTTTAATTAATTAAATAAAGAGAAAGCTAGACGTGTGGATAATCTAGTCATGACTAGTATTAAAGTCATTGCAAGTCGTAATTAGCAGATATCAGTCTTATCGTTTAATTAAGTAATTAATTAACAACTGAAGACGTCGGCAAATTCTTATCAACTTAGAAACTTAACACACACCGTAATCAAATTCTGCCGGCGGTTACTGTCCGCTGATTTCGGTCATTTTTTATTTCAACAAGGCAATTCTTCTTCCGTAATCAGAAAAGAAATTGAGACAACTCCTGCTACAAAACCATTATCTCCATGAAACTTCCTCAAGTAAGGGAAAATAACAAGTTCGTCCTTGAGGTTTTGCACAAGTAACCTTTAGTCTTTTAGATTTTTTTTAGAAACGTTTTGATCTTTGCTAATGCTAGTAACCTTTTAGTCCCTCTCATAGTCTCTAGGAGTGGGCGGTTCAGGTACCTACCTAAATTCAAATGAACCGGAATTGGAACTAGAACTGGCTAGTTCCTTAGATTTGAAACTAGAACGCGAACGGGAAACATAAGTTACAGTTCTAGTTCCGAGTACCCAGGTTAATTTAATTACCCCTAAATTTTTAAAAAATGACAAATAAACCCTGCAAAACTTACAAATAGACCCCCAATAGTTTATAAAAATTATAATTCAGTTTGGTTCCTACTTGGGTACTCGAATCTCAGTTTCAGTTTCGGTTCTAGTTCCCGTTCTCGGTTCCAGCAGGGGTTGAATTGGAGTCAGAATCGAAACCAATCGATTCCTGATTTTTAGAACCAGAACCTACCCCTTGAGGGTTGGTTCCGGATAAGAATCGAAACCCCAAGTACCTGTCGATTTCAATTATGACCGGTTCTTTTGCACACCCATAAATTAGTCTCGTTAGTAAAGTGTAGGCACCAAAATGTTACTCACACCCAGACTCAGAGGGACCAAAACATAACTAAAAAAACTTACAAGACTAAAATGTTATAGTTAGACTAAACCTGAGGATGAAATTATGAAGATCCTCGTATCTTCAGAAAGTAAAATCCATTAACGATCAACAGGGATCATACACTGCATGCATAAGGTAAGTTGCGTAAACAAAAACATCTCTTGGGCTGTTGGGCATGAGCATGACATGTATCTTTTCATGAAAACAGTGAAACTGGAGGTAATTAACTCTGAAAAATGTTTCTATTAAATCACTAATCTTAATTTGTCCATCTTCCTTTGCACGCTTTTTTTTTTTTTTTTTTTTTTTTTAGAAGAAAGGACATATAACTACGTCGTTAGGAGTTTAATTAATCACCTTAATTAGGTAAATATTAGTTGTCACCTCAGCTTATAACACTAACTTATTAAAAAAACTATTAAAATGATTGATAAACAACAGCAGCTTCTTCTGTTTTTTTTTCTTTTTCACTGTGCTACATATTGAAATAGTTTGAAAGAGTAATGAGAAAAGAAGAGCAATCGAGCCCACAGCGTATTCTATAGTTCAAACATTAATTAGAACTTGATATTTTCAGCTTGAAGCAAATAACATAACTACATACATAATTAGCCAATAGCCTTCAAAAAAGGGAGGTTTTGGGATTCAAAATTACAAAAATCTAAAGATGTATAAATCATACTTCTTAGTTTCTACATCTCCTATCATTATGTATAAAACATAAACTAAAGAAAAACAAGAAAAAAAAAAATTAAAAGAAGAAACACATAATTAAAAGAAAAAAATAAACAAGACTAAGGCCTCTGAAACTGGAGTTTTTATTCATTCACCAAGGCCTAGCGGTGTTTTGATCAGATGAACTTAAAAGCTCTTCCAAATAATCAGCTCCTAAATCTTCCAACACCACCACATTTTCTATCCTCACTTCTCTCTCTTTCTTCTTCTTGTTTATCATTTTCTTCCTCATGGAGTGTTTTCTCTTGAGTGCCACCACCGGTGAACACCCTTCCTCCATGCCACACTTCATCTCTCTTAGAGATTCTTGAACCCTTTCCACCGGAAAATTGAGTATAGCCGATGAACCCCTCATTGAAAAAGCAGCTTGATCGTAAGCCAAAGCAGCTGCTTCTGCACTATCAAATGTCCCTAACCAAACCCTAATCCCATGTCTAGTTGAATCCCTTATTTCTGCCGCAAACTTCCCCCATGGCCTCCTCCTAACTCCTCTATAGGATTTTTCTTTACTCGGATTCTCCTCAATTCCCCAACTCACCTCTTCTTCCTTAACTCTATTGGTAGACGTAGCTTCTTGTGTGGCCTCAGCTATTAGTCCGTACAGAAGCATTTCTTCCGAGTCATTTTCATTGAAAGGAAGAGAGCTGTTATTGAATGAAAAGCTCTGAGAGAAAGATTCCGGTGACCCAAAAGAGGACTCCGGAGATGAAATTGAATTTGGGGAGGGAAAGAAGAATGAATCCATGGTAATTGGATGAGAATTTTTGTGGTTTTGGTGACCGACTCTGTTTTTGGACTCTCTGTTTTCTTCAGTAGCGCATGTTTTTCAGTGTCCAAAATTAGGCGTGGACCCTTTATATACTCTGAGAAGTAATAACTAAAGGCTAAAATAGGAAGTAATGGTGAAATTACCAAATGGGCACATAATGACATTATTTTATTTGGCAAGGAACCAGTGGGTTAAATGAACACATGGGTCAATTGAGAGATGGCGGCCAGGTCAGCAAAAAAGTTTAGGCTGACGTCAGCCAGTGATTTGAGTTTTGTCGTGTTGGAGAGCTGCCATGGACACTGCCCACTTGTTATAATTATATCCACATAAACGATATTGATTTTCCTCCTTGTGAGTCGTGACCGTTAAATTGCTTACCTCTTGAGGAATTTTTCCATTTTCTGTTATATTTTAGAAGACAAAGAGATAGAAACACAAGGAGAATTTTAATATTGAAAAGTAAATTAGAACATTTATTTTTTTTCTTAAGATTGAATAATTATTTGATTGAAAATAAAAGGTCAATTATGTCATGATTAGAATAAGAAATTTCATTGAATTTGAAACCAACATTCGTTTCAAATAAATTGGAAGTTTAATTTTATTTTAATGCTTGTTTCATCACCAATCTGGCCGATTATCCCGGCCTCCATTAATTAATCCTGTTCATCTGAAAATTTGGTCTACGGTTAGCTTAATCTAGCAATTATGTTTTTATGCACCAAAAGTCCTTGATATGGCTAACATCATATTCACCTCATACTTTTATCATTTAAATTATAATATGTAATTAACAATGTGGTTTGAATGGAGGCTACCTTTTTGTCTTCTATCCTAATTTGTTTCTCTATTGAAATACCTTATATTACACAAACATTACTAAATTTATACACCTTTTACATAGTTATAATAAGAAAATCCCTTGTATTTGTATGGATTACATATATATTACATTTGCTTCACGTCTCTCCACTCTACTTAACTGGGAATGGGATTCATGTGAAAGGACATGGCAATAATCATATATAGCTGCCAACTCCAACTCCACGTATCACTTCTTCACTCTATTCGCCTCTTTTCAACTGATAGTGGCTTGTCATTTACACATTGACAAGGCCTGAGCAGCCAAAATTGTCTTCTTGAAGAATTGTTTTTTTAATTTTAATTTATGGATCAATTATATCAAATCGTTATCCTATTCCTAGGCATATAGCCTATCATTCAGAAATTGAATTTGATGGCTTAAAAATTATGGTCCAGATACAGGTCCCTTGCCTTGAATCCCAATTCCAAAAATAACACTATTTCAGTCTCCGAAACAAAGAGGGAAATTGTTTGTTGAATATTATAAAGTCCTCCACAAAGAATGGATAGGCATTTGTAGCTTTGTAGTTGGAAATTTGATTGTGACTACTCAGTAAACCTTTTCTTAACATGTAGTTTCTACGAAACCCCATTCTGGGATAATTTTCTTTTCAAATTTTCTCAGTGGAAATATATACGTTACTACTACACTATGGACTAGGGATGTTCAAAAGAATTGTTTGGAATCGAAACTGTCGGTTTCGATTCTGGTTCCAAATTTCAAGGAACCATCGATTTCAGTTCCTTCGAAAAGTACAAGATACCCGAAACCGAACACCCCTACTATAGACTATACTTGGTTCAATGAAAAAATAAAAAATAAAAAATAAATATAAAAATAGGTTTGTGTCACGTGAGTGGCAACAGAGTGGTTGTCCTGGAGCAAAAGCTGCAAAACTCTTTCACTCTGTCTGGAATGGAACAGAAACAGATCCATCCATCACTATAATTTTGACAAAGCGGTTAGGCGGAGGATGATGCGTACAGATGGCCATAGAGAATGAGATTCATGGAACATGGTCCGTTTTGAGTTGATTGCTCACATGTAACTTGAGACAATGAGACAAAGGACCCACCTTCTCCCACCCGTGCCCTTTCCACCAACCTAGACTTAATCCTCAGTTCAAGCCGCCCGATAGACCTTCCTTTCCTCCTCCTCTAGTCATTCTCTTTCGTTTTCAATTTTCTAACTAAGTCTTCTTAATTATCACTTTAATTAATTCAATAATTTGTATTACTTCATCATTAAATATAAGATATATATTTTAAACATATATTTGTTAACATGTCATAAATTATAAATTCAAATATGACTACTAAATTAAAAAGTATATAATTTAATTTATTCTAAAATGTAAATTAAATTTAAAAAAATTAACTGAAAGCTATCTTTATTTTATATTATATTAAAATATAATTCAAAAGAATCTTTAATAGGAAATATACAATGAATTAAAATAATGGTGAGAAGAAAGTTCAAATCCATTATATGAATATTTAAATATGAAAAGAAGAAAGTTCAAATGAGTCATGGTCTAGTAAGAAATAAAATTCTATGGGCCACTTCCACATAACTAAAACAAATTCTTGTTGGATAAAAGGAATTGAATCAAATATCGAATCATATAAAGAACAAACTGAAACTATAATATATGCTTTGTTAAAAGGGGACTAGGTTAACTTTTGATTTGATGTAATTGGTACATGAACTTGAACATTTAATATGCAAGTCAAACAAATCTTATCAATTCTTTTTATATTTATTTTAAATGTGTTCAAGTTAATCTACTATCAAATATCAATACCCTAATGCATAAGAATGAGGCTTGTCCAGATTATTAGAACGAATAAGAGATATTATAGATAGGTACATGGTTTCAGGTTCAATTCACATATGAACATCTACTATTTAAGTGGGAGGTCGTGACTAAACTGACCTGAACACCTTGGTTAAAAAAAACAAATGGGCATTAGGGTTCCCAAGATAATAAATAATTAATGAATTAAACCTTGAGTAATACTACACCAACAACCATCTTTCAAAAACTTTTTTTCACGACCTTGACGTGACAACTCGTAATTAATTAGTGGGACCCGTTGTGATCTGACTAATTGCAAGCTATCATGTCAGGGTTGTGAGAGAGAGTTATTGGTTTAGTATTATTCTTAAACCTTATAGCAAAGGATTGAATTATTTTGAATTAATCTGATAAAATTTGAGATAGGTCCGACTCCTCACCCAATAAGGTATTTGTTCAATGAAAAGATTACCCACTTTTATAAACCAGTAGGTTTGAGTGTACCTAATCGATATGAAACTCTAATATAAACCCTTCTCAATTCACATTATAAATATGCTTGAACAGTTTTTTTTATGCATGAAAATTATATAAAATGAGGTGAGTACACATTGCTATCAATAGCTAATTTATCAAATGAAAATGATAACCTGGTAAAAGTCATATGGGTAATCTACAACATATAATTTTGGAATTGGAATGATAATGGAATTGGAATCATACACATGGATGATTAATGTAATTGGATGGCTGCCCCTAGTAATTGCATTATAATTAAATAATTTTGGGCACAGTAATTAGACTAGTAGCAGTTTCAGTTGATAGTTTTGCCATAAAAAAAGAATGAACTTGGAATAATTATTGTAATTAAATCATCCTTACTTCCAAACAAATATGGGATACTGGGCTGGGCTGCTATAAAACTAAATCTTTTGGATGTCTATTTACTTTTTCAATTTTTTTTATTTATTTTTTCGGTATTCATTAACTAAAAGTATATAACCCAGAATTTTAATGCTTTATGTCAACATAAGGTTTTACTTTCATTTTAAATTTAATTTTTCATTTAAATTTTTACAATAGTAAAGTTTATTATTTTTAAAAAAAAAAAAAAAAAGGTAGGGGAATGGTCATATCAATACTATGGGCCTACAATTAAATACACAAAAGCATAAAGCGGCCCAATTTTTATCAACTTAGGATGTTCCCGTTATCCAATTGTTTTAGCGGTGAAAGTCAAACAACTATGATTACTAAAACTTTAACCTTTCAAGCACATTTTTAATTTGTTCATCACAATAAATAATTAAAAACTATACTATATTATTTGAATTAAAATCCAATGTCTAGATGCAAAGTTTCCAGCATAACAAGTTAAATATTGGGAGAAAATGGTCTAAATCTTCTAGGACTTTAAAATTCTCTTTAATGTTTGGCTTTGTCCACTTCTGATTGGCTAATTAAAATTTTAATTAATTAGAGATCTTAATCACCTTTTGAATCGATATTGTTTCAGATATGACGTGCGGAACGGAATTAAATATTTGTATCCCGTTAGGCCGTTACGTTGTTTTTGATTAGTTTATTTTTGTTTAATTAGACCAACTTTTTTATTAAATGAAGATGATTATTTTTCAAAGACTGACACGTGTAATGAGAGGAAATTATAATTTAAAATATAAATTTTTTGTAAAAAGAAAAATGAAAATGTTGGTTCGGTCAAAGGGAGATTCAAAAAAGGGTCAACAAGCGAAAAAGTATTTGACCTTGGTCATACTCATCTCATTTATGATTTATCAGATAATCCTACTCCTACCCGGATCTACCAAGTCATCCTCCTACGTTGATCTTTGCTAATGGGGTCCATCACTGGGCCATTTAATTTCATCAATTCGCTATCGATTTTTTTTTTAAATTAAATACCTTATAATAAGAGATACATATTTTAAGTAATGTGATGATATTACATGTTCTATCAACACATTACTAAATTAATTAAAATGTGATATTTTAACTAGAAATATAAAGTAATTCACCATATCTTTATGGTTGGATTTTAAAATGAGAAAATATTGCTGTGCTTTTTTCTTTTGTATATAAAAATCTTTTGTAGGTTTAGTATTTTTCTGCAAAGTTTTTGTAATACTATGGATTGTATTTTTTGTGTTGTTAAATGACAAGACCTAACCTTAAGGGGTTGACTTGAAGGTTAAAGAGATTTGTTCAATTTTTTGGCGATTAAAGAGATTTGTTCAATTTTTTGGCGATTAAAGAGATTTGTTAAATTCTTTGAGTTATTGGTTTAAACCTTGGGACTACCTACCATAATAATATTATAGTTTATCTAGTCTTTTGACTTGTAAAATATTCAATGACTCTAAGGATTAGTTGAAATATGCGCAAATTGACCTAGACATCCCGATTATCACAAAAAAAAAAAAAAAAAAATGACAGAGACCAATAAGAAAATTAAATAAAAAACACCCAATAAATTGTTGTTTGGATGCAAGTAAGATAAAACCTAGTTCAATAAGGGATTACATTCAATCTGATAATTTTAGCCGACAGTTGATAGATCTTCAACGTTTGTATTAATTTTCAACACTTGATTGCATAATTTTCTCAATAATAATAATGTCTGTTTTTTTTTTCTTTCAAAACCATAGAAAATAATAGTGACTAGTGAGATTCCCATTGAATTATTTTCAAGCAATGAATTTTTCCCTGGCCCCTAGGTGTTTGTGATTTGGGTATCCATGGATGCTCCTTTACTTGACATATATCTACGACCAAAATTTATGTTATTATTGACCACAAATATATTAAGCAACAAAATCCATTTTATTCTCCCATCTGGACCAAAAAAAAAAAGGAGAATCCAACCAGATCGAACGAATTCTTATCATGAATGAAATAAAGAAAAATGCCTATCAAGAAAAAGAGATCCATTAGTCGTTTTTGATCAATTCTGCCATAGGAAAGGTCGAACAATCCAAATCTTCTACTGCTAGCAAGAACCTTCCTAGAAGAAGTAATCATAAAATTTAAGTATATTTTTCAACTTGGTCAATCCACGTTCTAGAAAATTCATATCCACCGTCGGATCTGACTTGACCTTTCATTGATTTAAATTGTGAGAGCAACCAAGTTTGAAACTATAACTAAAAAGGCCCTTAGCTCAGCTAGGTTAAGCTTAATAATTGTATTTCTTTTTGTTTTAACCTGGAAAAAAGGCTAAAACAAAAATCAGCTATGGAGGACCCCGGAAACAAAACCAAAGAAGAGAGAAAAAATAAAGAAGAAGTTCGATATCGAGGAGTTCGACGAAGGCCTTGGGGAAAATTCGCCGCAGAGATTCGAGACCCTTCAAGACAAGGTGCACGGTTGTGGTTAGGGACATTTGACACGGCTGAGGAGGCTGCTCGTGCTTATGATCGTGCGGCGTTTAATCTCAGAGGTCATCTTGCTATTCTCAACTTCCCTAATGAGTATTATTCTCAAGTTATGGGGTCTGCTCCTCATCGTCCTGTATCATCTACTACATTTTCATCATCGTCTTCTTCTTCCTCTTCTAGTTTTCGACCTAGTGAGGGTTCTGAGAGAGGAACTTCTTCGAGTGGACAACAAAAACCAGTTTTCGAGTTCGAGTATTTGGACGATAAGGTGTTGGAAGAGATGCTTGAACCAGAAGAAGAAAAGAAGAAGCGAAATAGAGATTGAATTTCGAGGGTTTGGTACTGTACACTTGCTTAAATCAAGTTTCTTATAATTACTTATTGCAAAGTACTTTTCTAAAGTTCTAAACAATGTTGGATGCGCTATTTTCTGTTCAGCTTTTGGAGATGAATGGTGAATGTATAATGGGAGAGCTGTATAAATTATTACGGGTAATCTAGTTTGAGTTTGTTGGCATTTTTATACTTGAATCAGATCTATCAATTTCATATAAAGTGTTCTAAAAACATGCCCTAAAGATATATATATATATATATCAATTGAAAAACAGCATTAAAAAGATGAATCAATCGAGTAGTTAGGTTTCTGTGTATTTAAAACAATCAAATCCTTGTATTATGTTAATCTAATTCGTTGTTATATTTATATATCAAAATATATAAGAACATGAAAGTACAACTAGAAATTTCCCATTCAAGATGGCATTTGTAACTTTGAAGCAAAAGCAAAATTGGTAATTAAACTATATGATACAGAATGTGGTCTTCACACAAAATCGAACATAGTTGTGTTGTAATCTTCATGCATTGGCAGGGATTAAAAACTTCTTGGAGAACATATTAAATCATGTTAAATTTCAAATTAGACGAAGTACTGCATATCTGTGCATTTGTGAGTTTGTATTTGTACTTGGTTGCTGTTGCTGGCATGGCGTTTCTGAAGTGAAAAAGGAAGATTGAGGTTTCAGAGATGGAATCAACGAGGGCTTAAACTGCTTTTAGCTCTCTTCATTGGAAGAAGAACAAAGGGAATCATAGGTGTTCAGGCATATCACAAGCTTGATGATTAAATCAATAGTACACTGTAGGCGCTTACAGGTAACCATGTTTTTACATGTAGTAATTTAATTCAGCTAAAATTAACTGTCCAAAATGCTCATTTGGATGAATCCTTTGACAAGAATAAAGATTGGATTTTTTGTTGATATTGTATAAATATGTGTTGCCTAATATGGAAATTGTACATATCCCCAAATATACTTTTCAAGATTGTATGTCTAGTAACTCTTTAAGAAAAAGTTTAAAAAGAAGATGATTCTAGATTATAACGGCATCAAAGTATTGTCTTTAACATCTCCTTTCCTAGTATTCTGCTGCAATTTGCAAAAAGCAAGCCAAGCATAAGGACATTAATTAGAAAAGTATGTGTATAATAGATGCTTATTTAAAACAACAACGATTTGATCATTGTTTTTTAAAGCAATAATGTTACTTATATATTGTTGGGATCCTCAATTCGTATCTCAATCTATGCATATGTCTGTTGATTTGGCAATACCGTATTAGTTATAGAATGGTGAATTAACTTCCATATGATATGAGATACAAAGGCGCAACTTTATATATCTAGCATTACTCATCTTTTGGAATGTTAATTGTATATTTGGTAACCGGGTTATCATATCATCAATATAGGGGTAGACTATATTTCGCTATGATCATTGGTTATCAGATCATATTCATTATCATCAACAATGGACATTGAACTAAAATGTTTTCATCGTATAGTTTAACTAACATTTTTTTGATATAATCCTAAATATGTACTCTCTTTAATAAATTCAATATAATTTGGGTAGGAAGATCTCTTGTTAAAACACATAATGGTTTAAAGGGTAAATCATTTATTTATTTTGCAAATAGTTTAAGTAATAAAAGAGGATACCTGAATGAATATCATGACATGAAATATCGGTATCTTGTAAACATTGACAAGAAAATCCAGTTTCCATGTTAAATCAAAATAAATGGAAATCCAGATAGTTCATAATGATGGTTACATCAAAACATACTTAAGAGAAAATCAAATGTAAAGCATTTTGAGATTTATAACATTAATTAGCAAACAATTTCACAGTACTTACATACACATTCTCATTATGAATGATCATACAAATAATAAAATTAATTTCATGAAAAGAACTCGATTACAAAACCAATCGGCCATGAAACATACTGTGTAATTTGCACTTTTACAAATAATTATGCATACCTTTATCGCCAAAGCTAATTAATTGTAACTTTCATTGAAAATTCCAAGACATTCGATTCGCACCTCTATCACTTGAAGATGTTTTGATAAACAAAAAGTATTAGAAAATTGGTTTAGAAGAACTTTTTTGATGGAAATAATTATATGGGAAGGAGGTTAAACAAAATGTTTCCTTAGAGTGTGTTTTAATCAATTAGGGAGTTTAAGAAGTGAACAACTCTTCTGTTAAACTTACTAGAAAGTTTGTGGGGAAGTCAAATTAGGGAGCTATAAAACAGATTTGTCATTATTGAGAAAAAAGAAAAGTTACCAGATAATTATCCAATGATCTTTCCTTTTCTTTCTTTTTATAAAAACTAGCATCTTCAAGTCTTATAACCAGTTTAGCTCTTGCAGGTCTTCCATATATTTATTTGGGTGTCTCATATTCCCTTCAGTTGGTTGTTGTAAAACATAGAAGAACTTCAACTTTGTCGAATAGCATCCCCCAGAAATTGATAGCGAGTAACAGACTCCTTCAAAGTGTGAGTAAACTTTTGAGAAAAAATTCTGGGATCAAAGAGAATTTCAATCCATGAATGAGATATTGTAATACATTTTACAATGGTATTCCTCCTTACATAGTCCGTAGACTTATTTAAGGAAAACTTCGGAAAAGAATTTGTTACATATATACACTATTCTTATAGACATGTTTTTTTTCTGCCCTTTTCTCTTCTTTTTTTTTTTTGGACTTCTCAGGCCTCATTAATAATCTTCATTTCTCTAATATTAATTGGTTTTATACTTAAAACTACTTTAACCTTCCTTCTTTGTAAGTTTATAGAATCTGATCTCATTTAGCTTAGCTTGGTCATTTTCTTAAGTCCGGCTCCTATAACTACCACTGGGTGACCGAGTGGTTCGATAGGGACTCTTGGATGTATTACTTAAGAGATTCTAAGTTCGAGTTTCTCCTCGGTTGTTAATAAGGGTAGCCACTAGAACTCTTACTCAACCGATAGTTCCAAGATCCCAGAGAGTATTGAGGTGTGCGTAAGCTGGCCCGGACACTCCCAGTTAGGGGTGGAAAAAAAAAACCAAAAACTGAACTGAAATCGGTCCGTTTGTTTGAAATAACAAAAATGGTTAACCGAACCGGATTTTTAAACTAGTTTAATGAATAAAAAAATAATTTTATATTTTTCAATTTTAAAAAAAATTATTCCTAGGTCTTCACTAATGCGCATTTTCCAAAATGCAATTTAAAAAAAAATAATTTTATATTTTGAGCATTTTTAAAAAATTTATCCCTAGGTCTTCACTAATGTAATTTTAAATTATTAATACTTGATGTACATTAAAATTATATGAATTCAAATTATTCAATTACAATAAAATATCTTTAATTTAAGTTAAAAAAAAAAAACCTGGAAAAAAAAAAAGGCCANTTTTATACTTAAAACTACTTTAACCTTTCTTCTTTGTAAGTTTATAGAATCTGATCTCATTTAGCTCAGCTTGGTCATTTTCTTAAGTCAAGCTCCTATAACTACCATTGGATGACCGAGTGGTTCGATGGGGATTCTTAGGTGTATTACTTAAGAGGTTCTGAGTTCGAGTCCCTCTTCGGTTACTAATAAGGGTAGCTACTGGAGCTCTTACTCAACCGATAATTTCAGGATCCCAAAGAATATTGAGGTGTGTGTAAGCTGATCTGGACACTCCCGGTCATTTAAAAAAAATAAAAATTCCAGCTCCTATAAAAGGAAATTGTACATGTGTGAAGGTTTGGAAAATATTACTAGATCCTGTATAGCTTTGGTTTCAAATAACGGTTTTCTAACCTAAGTAAGGGTAGTTATAATACTAATTTTTAATTTTTAAACGGATTCTAAAATAATCAGTCATCACAATATTATCCTTTATTCCATTTCCACATATTTAACAGAGCATTTAAAACATTCACGTTTAACAAAGATACAATATCGATACACAATATATATATTCAGGAAAAGTTTGATGATTAAAAATATATACACACATTAAAAACATAAACTTCATCTAATAAATTTATCAATGAACACATAAAAAATATTTATTACTTAAAAAACTTATCCTTTAAAATTTCTGCTTCCTTCGATCGCAGACTGTCCATTACGCGTTATTGGTTTTCTTTTTTTTTTTTAAACTCCTCGGTTATTTCTTTCTGTCAAACCTTCCTGTTTTGCTCCTCTCTTTCTCTACTGTTATTTCTGTCGTTTAATTTTTATAAGCCTATCAACCGCCTGAAGCAGCTGCTGCAGGCTAATTAACTCACAAGATGTATTTTTCCTGAAAAAAAAAGAGTAATTAATTAATTTTATTATTATTTTACTGCTCAAGCAAGCAGCTGCCACCACCGTCCACCTGCTTCTTTAAATCGAACCACCTCTATAGGAAAATGCTGGCTATCATTTTATGTCAACACGCGGTATTGAAATATTTTCTTACCTGTTATCTGACAAAAAAAAGATTACTCGGTTAATTGTGACAGTTGTTGCACAAATTCACTTATCAATAAAGATTACCCCTCAAACTTATTAGGGGAATAGCTGGAGTTTTCCTCGTTTTCTTTCGTTAATTTGGCCATTTGTCAAGCTTCACATCAAATCAAAATCAATCAGATCAGAGAGTAATACCGAAAGATAGGTAGGATGAATCATTCCCAAACGTGCCTATAACCACCCTTGAAAAATTCCAAAACAGAGTCATCGATCTGCTATTCATCTAACCAGCATTGCTGAGATTCGGGGAAGTATTTTGATTTGACGGTTGCTAAGTATATACCTTGGAAATGGGAGCCGGTTGCCTTTAAACTACCAACACAGAATTAGTGGCTCAACGCTTCACATAAGTTAAAATACACTTTGACGAAGGACACTCGAAACAATATTGCCCAGAAACAGAAGTACTGACGAACTAAGGGAAAAGCACCGAGCTGCTTCTCAATGTCGTTTTGCCAATTGTCAAGAAGGTGCTGTTCCTAACAATAGGAAATACATTAAATTTTCCAAACATGGTTCCATTATTTATAAGTCTCTGGTTCTTTTTTGGGCTACACAACTGGGGGTTAGCCCTCCCCTGTCTCTTGAATACTTTATACATATGTGTTTTTTAAAACACTTTATTCAATCTCGATCGACAGATGTGGTGAGCTCTAGGCAGCATTTGAAAAAAAAAATATATATATATATATATATATGTCTCTATGAGATAATGCAGCCCAGTTCTCACTGCAACTATGTATACCAGTATACACAATCAAAGCAGCCGAGTTCTTACTGCAACTATGTATACACAATCAAAATTTGGAAAAACGAACTGATTGTGTATTTATAATATATTATATCTGAACTCTAGCTGGCTAGGCCGCCATCACCATGGCCCAGAAATGGTCACCATTTCTTGTTATTTTTCTCTCCTTGCTCGAGAAGTTCCTCCAGCAACTTATCATCAAAATACTCAAACTCGAAAACCTGCTTTCCATGTCCAGTTGTTCCTCTCTCCTGCACATTATGTTCCCGCATTGACGATGATGAAGAAGAACCTGTTGAAGACGAAGATGAAGATGAAGATTGAGTAGAACTGGAAACACCACTTGACATAGGGTACTCATGAGGAAAATTAAGAATGGCTAAGTGACCCCTCATAGCATAAGCAGCACTATCATATGCTCGAGCCGCCTCCTCAGCTGTGTTAAAAGTTCCAAGCCACATGCGTTGGCCGTGGCGGTTGGAGTCTCGTATCTCCGCCGCAAACTTCCCCCATGGCCTCCGCCTGACGCCTCTGTATTTCACCTCTCCGCCACTCTCATTAGCCTTTCCCCTAGAGTCCTCGTGATCCATGGTCGAAATGTGTATGTTAATTTGTTTTCTTGTTGCATGGCTCATGTACTTAGAAATAGCATATATATGAGTGGAAAAAGCAAAAAATTTGGCAAAATTTGTGGGTCCGGGTCATCCACGTGTCAGATTCTTGGGGCGAGAAGTGTTCCCACGTGTTGATTAGAAGTTTCTATAATGACTGAAGTTTATTTGAGTCCAATGTATCTGGCTAAGTCAAGGTGCATGGTGGCTTTCGAGCTTAGAAGTGGCCTTTCAAGATGTCACTTCTATGACTAATTAATTAACGCAAAAAACAGACAGTACTAGAACCAAGATTTCGTCAGGTTTACTGTCGCACGTGCGACATTTACCAGTCGTGTTTGGGTCTCTGTTGCTAATGAAGTCAGCTGTCTCAAGCTTACATATAGGTATAATATTTCTGAATTATAACATAATTAATTGTTCTCATGTTAATATAGTATTCAAAATTTTGTATAAAAATAACCCCAATGTGCCGTCTTTCCCAGTAGGGTTTTTTAAAGTTCAAAATTGTCAATAGTTTGTGCTCCTTTAACTAAAGGATATAGTTTTTTTTTTATGAGAAACGATTGTCCATTACGTAACATTTACTGCAGAAAATGGTCAAATTAAATACTTAAGTCTGTGGATTCCATGATTCGGTGATTGGATTTGTCTGCTTCTTTTTGGCTTTAACAATTTGATTTGATTCGTGTTTTAGTGTTAGTGAGAATCAGAACTTTTACTAATGTAAGAGCTGCATATATTGTAAGGGGGAACGTAACTTGGGTTATACCTTTAAAAGGGGGATTAAGCATCTTAATAAACTAATAACCAAAAACTTAGAAAACGAGGTGATATGTATTTGTTGATGCTCCATCTCCATGCAGCTATCAAATTAGAATTCTCAATTTGACCACCTAACTTTCTGGTTGATTCATTTTTCAAGAACCCTATTTCATTTAAAGAATAAAAACTATTCTGACTTCTATAGCTAGGGTCCCAATATTTGATTTATGTGCACGTTTCTTGACTTTTAAGGAGTAAAATTTCAAACTCTATATAATTGATGTGCATTTCTTAATATGCGTTTCCAATATGTTGAATTTGATAGCTAGCCCAATATGATGAAAAACCCACTTCTCTGATGAATCATCAATGACCTTGCTTTTCTCAAATGCTGATTCCGCACTGCAGGTATCTGTCAAAATACTCATAATACTACCGAGAGAAAATTATTGTGGGTAGGGTTTTAATATGGGAACTTTGTCTTTGTCTCACCCTGTTTAATTTACACAGTGAATTTTATGTAAAATATAATAAGAGATAAGCGACTTTTCAGGTATGTTTCACACCTTCCCAACGAAAGAACTCGATATAATCTCAACTCCAATTAATTGTCTATGAAATAAATAAATAAATCCTCTTTTTTCTTTTAAAACAAAAGGATATGATTAAGTAGCATCTGTAAAAGCACTTCAACCAATCAAATAAAAAAATTTGATTATTTTGTTCCAAACAGTTCTATGAGGGCCTCTTTCAGAACAGTTTACTAGCTACATCTAAAAAGAAAAGCTTAAATCAAAAGATAATTTAAATGATTAATTGCTTATAGTTACACCTACTGACTTTTCTAATCAGGAAAGGTGGATCATAGTTTAAATGTGTTTCAGTTATTAGTTAACGATCTGATTATATAATTATACAGTAAGCGCATGATAATCTCCCATTTATCTGTGAAAATAGAATTTAATAATATATCCCCTCCTGTTTTATTTATTTATTTCTATAATTAACCCTAACACTGATGGAAGCCTGAAACGAGTGTTGTCTAATTATTAGCTTTTGATTAAATTTAGACTGATGAAGAAGAGCTAGCTGTATAATAATTAAAACCATGAACTCAAAATAGTAAATATAAAAAGCGGCGCTTACTTCTGATCACATTAAATCGTATATTTCAATAACCTATCAATGTTATCTGTCTGTTGGTAGTTCAACATATTTTTCTAGTTTAGAAAATGGTATGGTCTCCATTTAATCTTATTAAAACGTTTTATCTGATAAAAACCAGAAAGCAATGCGAAAAGCCATGATATGTTAATTCTCTGTGGAGATCGTCAAGGAAACATGGAGTCATGTCAAAATGTGTTAACATGCAAGTTCTAATGTAAAATGTGATCCACAACGTCGCAAAATACTTTGCTGCCACAAAACTAATCTAAAATGTCATCGAGCTGGCAATTCGAGGGACATATATATACACATGATAATTGACTTTTCATTCACTTACATATGCTTAATTAATTTAAGTCAACCATGGTTGTTTTGATTTGGGAAGAGAGTACAGACGCAGTCCGTACAAAATATGAAGAAATAATATTGGAAATATAAACAAAAAAAAAAAACAATTAAGTTCGAATAAAATTTGTTGACATGTGAATAATGATACGCACCATATTTAGAAGATTGGAAATATTTGATACGACCTAAGTATGAATAGTGTAGCTAGATTTATTTCATTTCGTTTATATGTTGATTTGTTATATTTGACTTCCTTACATATCACTGTTAAAATTGTATAAATTGTACAAACTTTTACATAAAAGATATAAAATACAAAAAAGTATTCCTCTATTCTTTTCTTTCAAGGCATACTCTACAACCGAGTGTTGCTTCTCTTGCCTCTCCAGAATTATTCTAGGCATTCTTTGACAGTTCAACTGCTTTATTGCCACTCCAATCCTAACTTCTTACATGGTATCAGAGTCAAGTTCCTTAGCCAGATCCTCTTCTTGTTTCTCAAGTTCACTAATCCATTGCCTCTCCGCTGTTATTGGTTTCCCTGCAAAACAGATCCTAGGATTAGTTCATTAGAAAATGGATTCAAACCAGAACCCAACAACAAACCCAATAAAGCCGATTACACCAGAAATGGGCCTTGACCCACATTCTCAAACCAACCCACATATACAGCCCAACCAGGAAAACCAAAGCAGCCCAAATACACAAACTAATCCAAATAACCAAAACAACCCAAATATGCAAACCAACCCAGATCCTCAAACCGGCCTAAACCCAAACACATATCCATTCGGGTTTTCGGGTCAAACTGGCCCAAACCCGTTTCCCTTTCAATTCCAAATTGTCCAGCCAAACGAGCGTCGACCAGAGCCTAGTGATCCCTTTTACTCCTCAACCTCCGATGAACAGGAACTTGTTCTGGTCAAACAAGTTCTCATTGGCACTGAAAACTATGCAACATGGGCTCGTGATTTTCGACGAGCCCTCATCACCAAGGACAAAGATGGCTACATCGATGGAACCGTTGTACCACCAGCTAATCCCTATCTCCACAAACACTAGACTAGATGTAATATGCTGGTTCGTTCGTGGATCAACAACTCCTTGACCTAGGAGGTTACTGCAGGTCTGCCGCCAACAAAGATCGCCAAGGAGCTCTGACGATTCATCAAGGAGATGTATAGATAGTTAGATCTGGCTAAACTATTCACACTTCTCAAGAATCTCGCCGAGATCAAGCAACACAACAACGCAGTCATAGTTTATTACAACTGCCTCTCTGCCGTGTGGAATGAACTCGATGTTGTCGCTGAACCCTTACGAGGATCACCAAAAACACTTCAGTAGTACAAAAGAATCAAAGAACATGACAAGTTAATTCATTTTTTAATCGGATTGAATGACAATTTTTTGCCCTTTCGAATGCAGATGTTGCCACCATTTCACCACCATCACTCTGTCGTGCCTATTAATTGGCCATCCAAGACGAGAGTCAAAGGCTGGCCTCCATGGAATCGCCAAAAATGGGTGATTCCATGGCTTTCGTTGCAAACAGGGAAGAAAAGAGGGAGGCGCGGCTAGGTTTTTCTAATGACAAAGAAAAGGAAAAAATTTTATATCCAGGGATGAATGACCCAGATTTGCCCAAGCAATCCAATGGCCAACAGGCAATCAACCAAGTTAGTGGGGTCAACAGTCAACCGGGTCAACCTTTGGGGAATTCATCCAATGGTAAATTTTTGAGCAATTTTTAGAATAAATCCAACGGACCTGGTTCATTCTGATCAAGTAAAAAAATGTACTGTGATTATTGTAAGAGAAGAAATCACAATAAGGAGACATGCTGAAAATTACATGGTCGTCCTAAAAACGGCAATCCAACCGCCAACAATGTGACTATCACCACCACATCCGGATCCGAAGCTCAACCACCATTGATCAAACCTAAACAAATTACTCAACTCATCCAGATGCTGAACCAAATGCCAACAGACAATGCTTCTACCAGTTATGCAGGTACTTCTTTCTGTTTCAGTAATTCAATTTCCTGTGATTTATGGATTATTGATTCAGGGACTAGTGATCATATAATTTGTGACCTGAAATATTTTCAAACACACACAAAAACCATATCACATCTATCTGTTAGAATGCCCAATGGTAGCATTGCTCCCGCCATTCATACAGGGGTTGTAAAATTAACTGAGGTCATAACTCTTAGAAATGTCATGTTCGTCCCTGCTTTCAACTTTAACCTTATATCTGTCTCAAGATTTTGCACAGATAATAACTGCATACTACAATTTCATCCTAATCTGTGTACCTTTCAGGACCCTTCGACTGGCAAACAAATGGCCTTTGGTAAGGCCCTCATGGTCTCTATTACTGGGAGCCTCTTTCAACTATTCTTAGTAATAAAGTCTCCTCTTGTAATGCCAATATTAATAAAAAATTTCTAATTTTGCATCAAAGATTGGGTCATAATGCATCTAATCCTTACTTAAATAGTCAAATTTGTCCCATTGCCAAGCAACAAAGAGTAAGATTTCCCATTAGCACATCTTCCACAAAACAACCTTTTAACCATCGTGGATGATTTCTCTTGCGAGACTTGGGTCTCTCTTATGTAATCCAAAGCCCAAGCCTTCAGTCACATCCTTAACTTCCTATTAATGGTCCAAACACAATTCAACACATGGGTTCAAAGGGTTGGAGTGACA